AGGCAGGCAGCCTCTTCAGCTCCTCGCTGCCCTGGCTTAGCAGGATCCCATCCAGCCTGCAATGGGAGCGGGCGGCGTGGCTGGGACCGGGCAGCCAACCCCTCTTGCTGCACCAAACAGCAGCCCAGCGCCAGGGAACCGCCTTCCCCAGGCCTGGCTTGCTCTTGTCCAAAAAGCAACGGGCATTAAGGGGGCTGGTGAGCCTCCCCTGCGAAGATCATGGATGCGGATCGCCTTGCCCAGACCCGCCCGTGCTCACAGATGCAGCAAATACAGCACCACAGAGGACACAAGCACCAAGAGCATCATTTGGTTGCCCAAAGTGGGATTGGCAGGTTGGGTTTTTGCTTTAAGAATGTATTTCTTAGCAGCTTAGAGATAATTTGTCCCTATGAAAGCCTGGTAAACAGTTGGATCAAGCCCTGAATACGTTGCTTTAGCCAGGCTGGGAGCCTCCATTACAACCAGGATCCCTGCCTCCGCCCTGCTGTCTGCCAGCCCCGTCTGCTCCCGGGAGGGGTCATTCCCTGGGGAACCGGGATGCTGGGTGCCATGGTGACGGCTGCCAGGCAAGGGCTGCCATCATCCCCGCGGGCCTTGGGGACTAGAGCTGCCAGCATGGGGCTGCAGGCACTCCCCAGGGACATGCGCAGCCAGGCGAGGCCACCGGCCAGGCTTGCCTGGATGCGTGGGGAGAGCTGGACTTACTGGTGTAGCTCTCCTCATCTCCCAGACTGTCTGTGCCCGCTGGGAAGCAGCTTCTTGCATGGGGATTTCTTGCACATGACGGTCCGGGACACCCAGCTCAGGCTGGGAGCACCCCAGGGTGGAAGTGTGGGATGTGGGCTGCTCATGCCAGAGCTTGCAGGCACCTTCCTGGTGCTCAGCAAACACAGAGGACGGAGGATTGGGACATGGAGCAGCAGATCCCCATGTCCATCTCCCCTAATCGCCCCTTTTCACCTGGCTGCGGAGCCACGGCTGGCTGAGCATGAGCTCAGCCTTGTGCTCCGGTCCTGGCACTGCTGATGGCAGTGCTCTGGCTCTGTGTTGCAGGGGAAAGCATCAGCCTCTGGCTGGGCCAGAGCAGAGAAGGGCTCCCAGCTTAGTCAGCTGCCCCATTTCCAGTTCAAGGAGATAATGAAGAGGTGCAAACGCCAGCTAGAAGCTGGGTTTCATCCGCCCTCCGTGCACATTTGCTAGGGGCGAGGGGTTCAAGCAGCGCAGGACGCGCACAC